GAAATTTGTGAAAAAATCGAGTTTATTTACGCACCAAAAATTAGTACACAAAGATCGCGAAGATTTCGCTTGCAACAAGTGCGAGAGGAAATTTGAAAATAAATCAACTTTACTCAAACAAAATATTCCACGAAGTTTTCAAAAATTATTTGTGTGAAAAGTGCGCCAAGAGATTTGGAAATAAAAAAAGTCTGGTCTTGCACATAAAGACAGTACATGATGGTCAGAAAAACTTGGCCGTTAGAGTCCTGAAAGATTACTTATGTGACGAATGTGCCAAGAAATTTGGAAATAAGCAGAGTTTGCTCCTGCACATAAAAACGGTTCACGATAGTCACAAAGATTTTGCTGTTAGAGTCCTGAAAGATTACTTATGTGGCGAGTGTGGAAAGAAATTTGTACAAAAATCACATTTACTTTTGCACCAAAAGACAGTCCACGAAGGCCGCAAAGATTACGCGTGCAACAATTGCGAAAAGAAATTCGGGGAACGAGGTACTTTGATCAGGCACCAAAAAACGGTACATGAACGTCGTAAAGATTTTGTATGCGACAAGTGCGCGAAGAAATTCGGACATAAACATAATTTGCTTTTGCACCAAAAAACAGTTCACGAAGGTCGGAAAGATTATGCATGCAACAAGTGCGAGATGAAATTTACACAAAAACCGAGTTTGCTCTTACACCAAAAGACAATTCATGAAGGTAGCAGAGATTACTTATGTGACGAGTGTGGAAAGAAATTTACACAAAAATCGAGTTTGATCTTACACCAAAAGAACGTTCATGAAGGTCGCAAAGATTATGCATGCTACAAGTGCGAGAAAAAATTTTGCCAAAATTCAGATTTGATCAGGCATCGAAAGACAGTCCACGAAGGCCGCAAAGATTTTGCATGCGATAATTGCGAAAAGAAATTTGGGGAACGAAGCAATTTGATCAGACACCAACAAAAAGTTCACGATGGTCGAAAAGATTATGCATGCGATAAGTGCGAGAAGAAATTTGGACATAAATCGAATTTACTATTACACTTAAAGACAGTCCATGAAAATGGTAAAGATAGCGAACAAAACAAGGGTGAACATGAATATGAGACTCCATCGAATTTGAAATGACACGGGAAAAAGTTCATACAATTCATCGAATCTACCTTTCGGACAATTCTCGAAGTTTGTAAATATTACGTATATGATGAAAAGCGATAAAACTTTTGCCTACAAACGCCGTTATTTTTCCGTCATTTGATTTGCTCACAGGTCAAAAATTGGCCGTGTCGATGCGCGAATAAAAGTCAATTTGACCGATCATAAACGAGTTGTCTACAGAAAATATGAAGACTTGGGATTTCAAAAAACATTTACTGAAAAAAAATTTTAACAGAAGTACATTTGTGAATCTCATACTAATTACCCCTTCGCCAGGACTTAAGGGCTCAAAGGGGGCTTAAAATCGAAAAAAATTCATTTCATTGTCGAGTAGGATTTTTTGTCCTCTTTCAATTGCATTTTTATCATTCACTGAGGTAAAGCTGTTTCCGTGAGCCTTTTTCGTATGCTTTGCATGTTAAATTTTTCACCACTTTTGCACGATACCCGTTAGCTGCTATGACTATTGGAGCGTTCGTGATCAACGCCTGTGCGAGCTGATGACGTCGAGAAAATTTTTCCGACGATGGTTTGTCGAAAATACAGTCTGCTGATCCTCCGCCGTCCATGCCAGCAGCTAACGAATAAAGATTCATATTGTATTTTCTCGGCGGATGCAGGACAAGACTCTTCGTTGCGCTGCAGCAATATTTTTTTTTGGTCTTTCGTTACTCGATTTTGAAACTGTTCATTGTCGTTCCAATAAATAAATTTAAAAAATGAGTTTCGATTTTTTTATTGATAAGTGCACATAAACGGTACTTGACAAGGAGAAGAGGTAAGAATCACTGAAGGGGAAACAGTTTATCATCAACTTTTAAAGTTGAATTCTGGATCAAATTGAATTTTTATTCATCGTCTACAGTATAAAAAGCAAAATAGTGTTGTGGTCAGTGAGAGGAAATTACAACGGATTAGTTACACCGTAGTAACCTTAATCATTGAACATGTGCCCGTGACATGCCCGAGCCTTAGATTTGAACCCGAGGTATACAGCCGTAGGCCGTGAATGAAGAAAACGGCCACGACATTTTACCTCGGATGACCGAGACATCTCAGCCACCGAGGCGATTACTGTAGTATAGGCTTAATACTAGTATATGAAGTGAATGTTGGAGGCGGGGCTAAAACCGAATGCAGCTTAATGGGGCCATCTGCATCTGGCATACGGGCTAACATAGGAAAATTAAACTTAAAATGATTCAAATTATAACAAATTAATGAATTTTATTGATTATATTGTCCAAAGCAACACAGTAAATACAACTCAGTTGGTTAGAGAATTAACTCCATATCAAGAATAACAAAAAACATTCTTAGCATACACAATCTTGTAGTTTTTAAGAGCTTTTCTTTTTACATTTTTTGTACCATCATTATGACTTTGACGTTGACGTTCAGCCGTCAAACGAATATGATATAAATAAATCTTCGTTCGTCAGCCGCTCAATGATCATTTCACAGATCTCAATCAGTGCCCATCGCCGGAAAAATCCTCTCGATATTTTCTCGCGCAGATGCAAAACAAAAACTTCCTCGAGTTCTTCCATTACATAATTCGAGTACCCACAATTTGGTCAACCCAGCAAGTGGTCCTCGAGCGTGAGTAATTTTGCCGCTTCTCTGGGTCATAAAAGAATCAAATCGTAGAGCGACAGATCCGGAATTATGTCTCTCTCCGTGAACTCTTCGCTATCGTACGAAAATTCGTCGAGATTCGTCGACTTCTTGAGCAACTCGTACTATTGGTGAAAAACTTCATTATCGTCATGGCGTTGCTTTGATCCAGCTCCTCCCGATCCATCCTCTTTGTTTTATAGGTGATCAACAACCGCCAAAGCACCAGACTCTAGTATCAGTTAAATATTCATCCAACTTCTACTATACAGCGTTTCCAATCTCTCGGAAAAGTGACTTTCGGAGGAAAAAAAAGAAATCTGCACCGCGAGCCAAGAGTAAACCGACGGTTCGAGGCATAAAATTCGTCACGGCCAATTGCAGCGGTGTTCGGCCCTCCTTGTCAAGGGCATCGACTGGCAACGTTTAACGTCTATCGTCGCAAACTTTGAATAAATACTCCATCAAACCTTCGTCATATATATCACCTTCGCTTTTCGCGCAAATCAAGTGAAGTGGCCTGGATGCTTCGTCGTTGACCAGATTCGGGTCGTGCCTCTCAGCAGTAATTCGACTTCTTTCTTGACGAAGCTGCGCACGAATTGCAATACCAAGTGCAGCGGAGCTGCTGATCTTTTTCGTCGCTGCAGATCCTGAACAACATCTTCGTTAAACCTCCGGTGCATTGCAGCCGACAAACAACGTGCAGCGGAGTCCATTTATTCTTATTGACTAAATTCGTTTCCCGTCTGTTTCATGAGGCAATCATCCTGCCCGACCTGGAGGAATTCCTCGACTGGGCGATAGCCAGGCGGCATGAAAGTGAGTGAGTCCAAACTCGTCAGTGTAATTCACGTCAAATCTGTTATATAAATAGAACAGATCTTTGACGACATCGTGTAACTTGAGTCTAGCCGCAAGATAGACTGGTGTGGTGCGATGCAACAGCGGCTTGCCGTTTTCATCGACTTCGGGATCGTCCATAGCAGCTATACCTCACGAGCTTGATGAATCTTCTTCCTTTCTAATTCTCGTCTTGGCCACAGTAACTAATGGAATCCGAGAGAAAACGCTGAATTCCGTCGAGTCGAAAAAGGTCTAGAAGATTTGGAAGGGAAAAAGTTTTTGTCGCTCTTCTTCGACCCCGAATATTTCATTCGATCGCTCGTACTTCATCGTATTTGAGTAAATGTTCGACGAGAAAATTTTTGAAATTTTCTGAAATATATTAGAAGTCAGTTGAGAAATACAACTGCAGCCAGAGAGATGTTTTTTTTTTATTAAATAAATACTGTACCACTCAGACAGCTACCCATCCATCCCTTCGGGTATGAAAACCGAAGGTGAACGATCATCGTCGGCAGGCCGAGTCTCCGCAATGGGAGACTCGAGGCCGCCAGTCTCACGCTCAGAATGGGCAGCCACGTCTCATCCTCGTGGCTGCATCGACTCCTACTTTGGGTAGAGAGTCTGTGAAGATACACTACAGAAATGATCCTGTGAAGTATGATCTTGACTTGTCGCTCGAACGCCTCCGCTACTTGTACTCTTTTTTTGATTACTCGCTTGTGGGCTCGTAAAAAATCGATCGAAGCCATCTAGCGTTGAGATCGTGAACTATCGAGCACATGGGAGTCGCGTAGATTTTTGACACTAAGGCGCAAGACGATCAATGTCTTTTGATGGATGCGCTGTATCACTGAATATATTCATTGCGCATAGTGGCGGGCTTAGTTCGCTCATCAATTCTAATATAAGTAAATCGTTTGCAACGAAACATTTACTCAAGAACATTCAATTTAAACAATTATCGGCGGAACAGTTGATAAAAGAAAAATAAACAAGTCCAATTCACTGACATAAAACTTCCTCCTAAACAAGATATATTTATTCTTACTTTTACTTATTCATACAAATAAAAAATCACCAGTCTTTGACAAGAAAAAAATTAATATTTCAGGGAATTTTTTGAAAGTGCTCAATTTTGTAAGACCAAAACTAATTCAAAAATTGTATTGACAATATACATATACAGATAAATTGATAATTAAATTGTAAGCAATATGATTGTGAACGATTTTGTACCTCGAACACTGATCATGTTCATAATGAAAATAAATTACTTTGATTGTTGTCTTCCCCAATTAAACAAGACATAATACCTAACATAAATTTTACTCATATAATTTCTGATACATTCAAGAGACTAATTCATCGTTCAATTTTGGCCCCGAAATGAATGAAAGTGAGAAGAAATCCGAGAAAATCATTTCAAGCGATAATTTAAGAGAACACGACATTGCAGTTTCAGACGACAAACAATACGCTTGTAATATTTGTCAGGAAGTATTTACATTACAAACAAGCTTGATAGCACATCGAGACACTATTCACAATGAACGAAAAAAATACGCATGCGACAAATGCGAAAAGAAATTCGAGTTCCGAAGTCACTTGAGTAGACACCAAATACTGGTACACAAATATCGCAATGATTTTTCATGCGACAAGTGTCAAAAGAAATTTGTGAAGAAATCGAATTTGTTAACGCATCAAAAATTAGTACACAAAGATAGTGAAGATTTCTCATGTAACAAGTGCGAGAAGAAATTTGAAAATAAATCAACTTTACTTAAGCACAACAAAATATTCCACGAAGTTTTCAAAGATTATTTATGTGAAAAGTGTGCGAAGAGATTTGGAAATAAAAAAAGTCTGCTCTTGCACATAAAGACTGTGCACGATGGTCAAAAAGATTTAGCCGTTAGAGTACAGAAAGATTACTTATGTGACGATTGCGGAAAGAAATTTGTGCAAAAATCGCATTTACTTTTGCACCGAAAGACAGTTCATGAAGGTCGCAAAGATTACGCGTGCGACAGGTGTGAGAAGGTATTTGGAATAAAATCGAATTTGTTCTTACACCAGAAGATAGTTCATGAAAGTCGAAAAGATTACGCATGTGAGAAATGCGAAAAGAAATTTGGACTGAAATCGAATTTACTTGTACACCAAAAGACAGTTCACGAAGGTCGGAAAAATTTTGCATGCGACAATTGTGTGAGGAAATGTAGAAGTAAATCAGAATTGTTGAGACATCAACAGGTAGTCCACGAGGGTCGTAAAGATTTTGCATGCGACTATTGCAAGAAAAAATTTACACAAAAAGCGAGTTTGTTTTTACACCAAAAGACAGTTCATGAAGGTCGCAAAGAGTACGCCTGTCATTGTTGCGAGAATAAATTTACACAAAAATCGACTTTGCTCACCCACCTAAAGACAGTACATAATGGTCAGAAAGATTACGCATGCAATAAATGCGAGAAGAAATTTGGACGTAACTCGCATTTGCTTAGACACCAAAAAGTAATCCACGAAGGTCGCAAAGATTTTGCTTGCGATGATTGCGGGAAGAAATTTGGAGAACGTAGCACTTTGAACAAACACCAAAAAATAGTCCATGAAAGTCGCAAAGATGTGTGAAAATAAACGTGGGGCTTCATCAAATTTGAGTTGACACGAAAAAAAGTCCGTAAAATTCACAGAAACTATCTATTAGGCAAATTTCGAAGTTCGTAACGATTACGTACGTATGTGATTTTATTTCTCTCATTTGATTTGCTTAATAGGGCAACGTTTGTGCATATTCATGTGTAAGTAAGAATCAATTTGACCGATCAAAAACCAGTCGTTTACGGAAAACGCGAAGACTTTGGATTTCCAAAAAAAAAAACTAAGAAATTTTAACACAGGAAGATTTGGAAATGTTATACTAATTACCATTCCATCGAATCTTAAACCGACTAAAAATATTGAATCTCGGAATATTTTGGATCAAGATGAATAAAGTTTTGTTGGAGCTAATTTTGGTTACATAATTCGACGACTTAACTGCATAATAGTCATGTTCGCAATGACAACACCTTTCTTTTTATAATGGTTTGCTTCGCAATTAACACTGATTATATCTCAATCGTAATAAAAATATGTTCTTAATGAAAAAGCAGCCTGGACCCTTCTTTAAACCAAAAAATGTTTTTGACATTTTAAAAAATCATCAGAGGCCGCCATGTAGAGTCGAATTCTTGATTAAATTGAATTTTCATTCGTCATCAACTGCATAAAAATCAAAATAATGTTGTGGTCAATGAAATGAAATTACCGGATTAGTGACACCAGCATCAAATCACTGTACATGTCCCCCCGACATGCCCGCGTTAAAATGGTCTCATGGGTTTCGAACCCGGGACTGCAGCCGTAGGCTGTGAGTGAGCGAACGCGGCCCCAACATTTTTACCTCGACGACTGAAACCTCTCAGCCGCCGAGGCGATTACTATTGCAGTCTAAATACTAGTATTTGAACATGAAAGATTGAGGCGGGGCTAATACCGAATGCAGCTTGATGAGAACCACCTGCGCGTGCGTGACTTTCGGTGCATGTTATTAATGAAAAGAGCATGTGGTAGTAGCCAGGATAGAAAGAGCCTCTACTACGCTCCATTCACACGCGCATTCTTCAGCGTGGCATGGTAGGCTGTGTACACTATAAGTAAAACAATTCGTTTCCCGTAACAGAAAACACAAACATAGGGTAACGAGGGCCGCCTGCGTGTATTAAATGCGCGTCAATAATAACAGTAATATAAAGGCTAGCGCGCGCAGAGCCCCTTATTCGCTCTTTTTACGTTTTTTGCTGTAGTAGTGCATAGTTTGCATAGTTTACATGGAGTTGTACAAAATTTTTTCAAATTTTGCTTCGCTCAAGTGATTATTTCAATCATTTTGAAACCGTACAAATAACAATTTATGTAGAACTCACGACAGAATCACATGGAAGTCTAACTCATATTGCAATACAAAGTATTATTATTGAAAGAAGTAATACAATTACAATTTTTGAGCTTGGGTAAAAGTTTTTTTTTGGTAATCGGATTTAGTATGAACATATTTTACTATCGCAAGGAAAAACTACGCATCAACTGCATGGCCCCTTTCTAATTTCATATTTTTTATTTTCTCGAAACCCCAACCTCTCTTGAGATGCGCCGAAAGCACGCGTAAATTGCAATTCGACACGAGGGACAATGCGGGCGAAATTAATTGTTTAAACAGCTGTATCTTGTAAAATATTGAAGATAGATTGAAACAATTTTCTTTTTATTTTATTCGTCTTTAAAAAAAAATGAAATTCAATTAAATTAATTGAAAATCCGTCCACTAGAAAAAAAGTTATGCAATAATTAGGGTAAAATTCCTAGAAATACGTCTTTTTTCATCTTTCAACCTCTGTAACTTGGCACGTATTAGTGCTATCGAGCTCGTCGACGTCTCATTTTAAAGGTAATAACCTACAGAATGATGTAACATAATTTTTATGTTAGTTAAATTGTTTATAATACAGTTTCTAGTTGTTTAAAAACATAATTTTATGGCTCTGACGTACTCTCCATTTGTTTATACGCGTTTTTCGCTGTGATAAATTATTAAAACAACGTGGTAACTTAGTTCAAATGAAATTACATCAATAAACAAACATTTTAAGAGGTTTTGAAAGGTAATCGGTCAAGTAGATGCCAAGTTACGGCCTTCTGAGCTTGGTTCATGAGTTCATGTTGCCTCAGTGTGCACGCCCTCAAGCGCTCGCTCGTTTCTACGCTCAAACGACGAATGGGGGATGTATGGAAAACAACGACTAACAGAAGTAGCAGAAATGCTCAACTAACCCCGGCCTCACCGTAGCAATGCCTAACGGCAGATACCGGTGAGTGTCCGAATGGGGTGGAGTAGAAAAAAAAACACACACACACACACATACATACTTGTACATAGAAACTATGCGCGTCAAGTTCACACAGCCAAAGCGTTTTTTAATACGAAATGTTTATTTACGTACGAACCCGACAACATCTTGTCGGGTGGTCCTCTTTTATAAAAAAAATACTTCTCGCGATTCGTGACGAAAAAATGAAAATGATTTTTCTGTCTCGTCATCTTACACGTACGAAGTCGATTTTCTTCCTCCTCCTGCCGCGGCTAGCACACACACACGGCAATTGGTCGAGTTTCCATGACACTTAACAAAAAAATTCTGCTCTCACCTGCTTCTTTGTCCACGAAAACTCGCGTCTGCCGAAAAATTGCTTGATGTTAATATCGTAAACGCGGTTTATATAATAAAAAGGAGCACTAGATGTGTTTGAAGTATTAATAAAGGAGTTGCTATCGTGATTTTATGGAGGAATTCGAAGTGCATAAAATGCAGGTATTAAAAATATTTCATTCAATCTTAAAAAGCAGCTTATATCTAGAAATTCGGACTAAAATTTCTCTATACATCATGTCTATAGTCTACTAGTACGGGTTATATTACGTCTAGCGTGACATGCCGAAAAATTAAATATAAACTAAATACATAATTTTAAAGAGTACATAGAACTATTATAATTATCAACATTTTTTCAGTAAAACAATCAAAACTTATTTTCTCAAACTTATTTATTTGAAGTATAAAAAAAATATGCAAATTTAACATCTATATAACACTAAACATGATCAAAAGTTACTGCAAGTGTACTAATGAGGTTTGGAACTTTGGAGTGTAGCCGCCAAGCAAATGTGATATAAATCTTCGTTTGTCAGCTGCTCAAGGATCATTTCGCAGATCTCCAGTGGTAATCGTTTGTGAATCAACTCCCAGAAAGGATCCAGGGCCCAGTGCAGAAAAAATCCTCTTGATAATTTCTCACACAGATGCAAATCACAAAGTTCACGATAATTTGTACATAAATAGTAAGGCAACTGAAACTTCCAGTAGTCTGTGTACGTGAGTAGTTTTTCCGCCTTTTCGGGTCGTAGCCGAGTCAGATTGTAGAGCGACACACTCGGACTTATCATCACTTTTTTTGTGTCTTTATAGTACGACACCTTCATCCCCTCGTTATACCAACCAGACTTTTTAAGTTCGTCCGACTTCTCGAACAATCCGTGTTTGGCGAAAAATTTCATAATCGTCAGGACGTCGCTCCGATCCAATTGGTACCCTCTTTTCACTATGAGCTCGACAACAGCCAGAGCTCTAGAAGCTAGTTGGAATCTATATCCATATTTTCCGTATGTCTCATATTTCCACGAATTAAATCTTTCGGCGAAATAGTTTTCAGTGGGGAAAACGAAGTTAGACAGTTCAGCGCCATGTTCGAAGAGAATATCGATGCCATCTGGCCAGAGATTGGCCACGGCCCATTGAAGTGGTGTCCGACCCAAATTATCTTTAGCGTCGACCATTACAAGCTGCTGTTTTTCATCGCAGATCTTGAAGAATAGATCAATCGAACTCGAATCCGAAACTATTGGCAGCCGATGGTAGAAATGATGCAGAGCTGTCCATCCCTCCTCGTTGGCCAAGTTCGGATCGGCGCCTTTCCTCAACAGAAATTCAATCATTTCCTTGTTTTCCCATTTCGCGGTCACATGTAGCGGTGTGTTGCCCAACTCATCTCGGGCGTCTATCTGCACTGGTTGGTATTTTTCGTTGTTGAGCTCGAATAACGTCTTCGCCAAGTTATGAGCAAAGTGAGTCGTTGTACCAGTGTTTACATAAGTAATACATCTAGTATTCTGGCTAATCATGTGTAAAGGTGTTGATCCGTCCTTGTTGACTAAATTCGGATCAAAATCTATTCTACGTAGCAATTCGACCATCATATTCTGTCCATGTTTCAGAGCCAAGAACAGCGGCGGATCAAATGAGCTCGATTTATCAAGAAGACAATTGGGGTCATGTCCAAGTTTAAGAAATCTTTTGATGACATAGTCAAAGCCAAACTCGCAGGCCACATGAAAATGCGTATGTCCCAACTCGTCGGTGTAATTCACGTCGCATTTGTTGTATATTATAAAAAGCATCCACATGAATTTGCGGTATCCGAGTCTAGCCGCATGATGCACTGGTGTAGTGCGACGCGACGATGGCTTGCCGTCTATATCAACTTCGGGCTTGTCCTTGTATCGGCTGCGAATCACGAAATAGACGAATTGACCAAGTTCTATGGGAATTTGCTTGACTTCAGGATAGTAAACGGCATCCAAAAGAAGCCGTTCAATTTCTTCGGTCCGAAAAATCTCCTGGAGATTAGGATATTCGTGAAGCCAATGCCTTAGTACAGGTTCAATTTTTCGAAGAAATTCTTGTCGCTCGCCTTCAACCTCCCAATTGATATTTTTCCGCCAGCTCTTCAATTTTTCTATTCTTTGTTGGCTATCCAAATTTTCAACGGATTCGTCGTCGGACGTGGACATTTTTCTTCTCGCTCACACACAGCACACAATTGTTTGTAATGTAGAATATTTTTTAATTTTTTCACAAAAACTACTCGATGAAAACGACACGATATTTTTTCTGTTCACGCTGCGGCGTCGTAACCTGAACTGAAATTACATGCACCACGATCTATATAGAAAGTAAGAACAGATGGTCGCAGCTAGGAGAGATACAATTAAAGCAGCGCGAGCTATGTACAGTTATTGGAAGTAAAATACGTAGTGGAGGCTGCTCACTTCCCGCTGGATTTACACTTTCTAATCATTACCGAATTCAAAGAGACTCTGACTTCACATGTGGTAAAACAAGAGGAAACAAAGAAACAGATAGAAAGAGAGACGAGAGAGTTTGAGAGGCAACTTGGATAAATAATGTTACGTAGAAGTTGCAATAATCTCCTATTACTCTCTCCCCGTCGATGGCGTTGAAAAATATCGTTAACCGGTGTAAACAACGATGAAAAATAAAACCAAACCCTTATGAAATGAATAGGAAACTTTTAGCGACGTTCACTTCTTCGCTTTGGGCTGACGCTTGCGGCCGCGTCGATCCTCCGGCCTGTAGGG